AAAATTATAAAATGTTACTGAAAGACATAAAAGGAGACCTAAATAAATGAACAATGTACCATGTTTATGGATGAGAAGACTCAATATCAAAATGATTTCAGTTCTCCCCAGTTAAATAATAAATGTAGTACAAATAAAAATTCCAACAGAGGTTTTCACAAGCCAGAGTAAAGGGCCAGATGTAGCCAAGATTTTGCTGAAGAGGTTGAAAGAAGTCAGAGGGAAACCTTCCCTACTAGCTACTAAGATTTTATTATAAGTTTAATTAAGACACTACGGCATTTGCATAGACATAGACAAAATGACCAGTGGAAAAGATCAAGAAGTCCACAGACAGAATTGTACAGAGCTTGACATATGACAGAGCATTACAAACTCAGAGAAAAGGATGTAATTTGCAATAAATAATGTTGGAATAATTGTTATCCATGTGGGAAAAAAAATTTTTTTTAAAAAATATATTTTATTGATTTTTCACAGAGAGGAAGGGAGAGAGACAGAGAGCCAGAAACATCCATGAGAGAGAAACATCGATCAGCTGCCTCCTGCACGCTCCCCACTGGGGAAGTGCCCGCAACCCAGGTACATGCCCCCGACCGGAATCGAACCTGGGACCCCTCAGTCCGCAGGCCGACGCTCCATCCACTGAGCCAAACCGGCTTCGGCGGAAAAAAATTTTTTAATTAGATCCTATTTCACATCATATACACAAAAGTGGACTAAAAGCTAATATTATAAGCAAGCATTTTAACATTTCTAGAAGAAAATACAGGGGGTGAGCTTATGACCACCAACTAAGGAAGTTTTTTTTAAGCTATAAAAAGCATAAAGAAAAAGACTCATACATTTGACTACAATAACACTAAAGAAAATTTTAAAAAATTCTCTCTTTAACCGAAGTGAAAAGGCAAGTTACAGATTAGGAGATGTATCAACACACTTAACTAACAAAACAGTAAGTACTTCGAATATATTTTTTTTAAATAAATTGATAAAAAGCAAGCAACCCAACTAAAAAAAATGGATAAAGTACATGAATAGGCAATTCACAGAAAAGGAAACCTTTCAGGCCAATAAACTTATGAAAAGATAGTCAACCTCACTAGCAACCAGAAAATGCAAATTATAATATTTCACATCCATCTGATTGGCAAACATTTTAAAAGTCTAACAATACCAATGCTTAAAGATAGAGCAAAAGGAATTCTCCTATACTATTGGTAGAAATATAAATTGATATCATTATTTTGGAGAACACTGGTAATATCCAGCATTTCCAGGAATATATCCTAACAAAATCTCTTTACAAGGCGACAAGTACAAGATTGCTCACTTCAGAACTGTGGTAGGGAAAACTGGAAATAATCAAAACTCTTCCAACAGAATATATAAATAATCACCAAGTAATCCTGCGATGGCGTTCTACGTGCAGCAGTTAAAATAAATGATCAAAACTTCATGTACCAACATGGATAAACCTCAGAAACAAAGTGTTGAGGGGGGGAAAAAGTAAGATGCGAAGTATATATACTCTGCAATAATACTTGTATTAAGTTAAAATATGCTAAATAGTATTACATATTATTTATGGTGACATATGTAAGGAAAGGCATAAAAATATTCATGTCAATAACATGTATCAACTTTGGAATAGTGGATGCCTCTGCAGAAAGCGGAAAGGAAATGAGGTTAGGGAAGAACATTTTCCAGAAGATAGTCAACCATGCCTGTAATATTTTATTTCAAAAATAAAATCAGAAGAAATATGGTAGAATGATGGTTACTATATTATGCTCTGTAATTTCCCATATGCTTGAAATGTTTTATTTAAAAAAGTAAATAACTTTAAGGTAAAACTTCAGAAAAGACTTTATGCTAATGGCTGATAAAATTCCTAAGAAATGCTCAGATTTCAATAAATCTTAACCAAAAAAATTGTCTAAGTTCTCATTGTGAAATATAAATACGTATTTCAATTTTGAGTATGTGTCCATATTATAAATAAGAGAGCTATCTAGACATAAACTGTAAATACCCTGATCACGGTAAAAATGTAAAATGTGCATCTACACATGCGTAGGTAACTATCAGGAAGGACATTAAGGAAAAAATATGGACTTAAGCTAGAAGGGTTTGGGGTAAAATTTATTTTTTATTTTTAAAATTTGACTCAATGAATGAACTATATCATGGACTTCCTGACAAGTGTCAGGAATAATATAGCAGCAGAGATTTAGACAAATAGAGCTCTAGACATGCACAGTGGACAGTAGACGAGTCCTTTCGGGCCTTCCACTGAATGTATGTCTTTCTGTTAATCCAGTTAAACAAACAGGCACACAACAATATGACTAGGGTCAAATCACTATTGCCACCCAATTTTCAAGGGCAATTGCAGTCAAGGACTGGCCCCCGGGAGATACTTTGCTGTGCCTTTAACGAAGGCGGGGCTTTTAAAACTCAGTTGTTCCATTCATGTCTCAAATCAATCAGATGAAATTCACCTTTTACGTGGTGGCCTGAATCCTGATAGCTCAGCACACTTGATAGGTAATTTAATCATCTCTGGTGTAGATGAAGGCAAACTCGAATTAGCCACTGAAAGAGTTGGTCTTCTGTGAGATAGCTGTGCTTTTCCACTTTTATGCAAGCGCTGAGCTTCACCAACTGGCTGGCTGGAGGGGCTATTAAAAATTTAGTGAAAGAAACAAAGGTGTGCTCTGGTGTCTCCTGTTACCCTTTCTACTGTTACTCCAGCAGACAAAAGACATAGGGCCTGCCTCATGAATAATGTGACATGGAATATTCACAATCTATTTTTAATGGAGTCAAGTAATAACATTAAGAGAGATATTTGCAATCTTCAAATTTCACACAGTACCAGGCACAGTAATTTGTTTTGATTCTGCACTGGGGATATCAAGGTATGTTCCCCTCCCCCCCTCCCCCCAAAAAAGGCACACTGTTAACATAAAAATTGAAACTCCTCATGTATAGCATAAACTGGGATTATGAAAATGGACCAAAAGTTTTAAACAAACAACTAGATTTCAGTCAGTTCTACTTACCTCTCCATGCACCTTCTTTACTTTTCAAACCAGGTTGGAAATTCTCAACCAGTGTACATGGTGAATTCTGTGGAAAGGAAGTTTTTGGTATTTATTCACTGAGAACTTTGCTTCTCAGGACACTAGGAAGAGATTCCTGGATACTGCAACTGTTCACCCAACAGTTCTGGAAAATTATCTTAAACTTGTATTATAGACCAAACAAATTTAAATTTTGAATGAGAATAAACTGACATGGAGGACTGAGATTTTGGAGAAACTGGAAAAAAGCAGCGTCAAAGCCCCCGTGACCCACCAACTCAGAGTCCTATCTGTTGTTTATTTCCTGCAATTTCTCTTCCTTTTGTGCTGTAAGGAACAGAGCCAGCCTGGAGCAAGCAGGAGTTTACATTGTCTGCTTATTCAGTTAACATCTCAGCAAATATTTATTAAATATGTGTTTTTTAAATTGATTTCAGAGAGAGGAAGGGAGACAGAAACATCAATGATGAAAGAGAATCATTGATCTTCTATCTCCTGCACGCCCCTTACTGGGGATGGAGCCCACAACCTGGGCATGTGTCCAGACCAGGAATCAAGAAACTATGACCTCCTGGTTCATGGCCGACACTCAACCACTCAGCCACACTGGCCGGACAGTAAATATTTATTGATCTCCTACTGTGTGCCAGGCACTGTTCTGGAAGATTCAGCAGTGACCAAATAAATAAAGCTCCACAAGATACTGCGCTCACCTCTGTATCCCAGCACTGAGGACAGTGCAAGGCACATACTAGGTGTTCGATCAGTATGTGTGAAGTTGATTTGAACAGAAATGGACAGTCTGATGGTGGTCACCATGAGTCATGCATACCTTGGCTGGAGATGTTTTAAAAAAGCTACAGGTAGTTGGGATTCAGGCCAGCACCTTATTCTGGTTTAAGGAATTGATTTGTGCAAGAAATTCCCGTAGGTGGATAGAGCCAGAAATAACCCAGAGAGCAATTTCCCTGCCCCTCATGCATCTTTACATTTGTAACTTACCTTGAGCATAGCAGCTAACCAATCTCAGATACCATCTTTCCAATCTCCACAGAATCAAAGTAGTCAGGGTTATACTGGGATGATACAACCACATCTACATTTTATAGTCACGGAAACTGGTATCAGGGAGGTCAAAGGATTTGCCCAAGTCCCATGGTGTGTTGGTGACAACTGCGATTAAGACTCAATCTCTAGACCTCAGGCTTGTGATTTCTTTATTCATCTTGCAACCCTCTGTCCTTCCTTCTGAAACTCTCAGGAAAAAGAGCCTATGTAAAGGGTGTCCCGAAATTCACACAAGATTTGAATTTTGCGTGAGCATTAACAATAACAACAACAAAAATAAAAGCCTAATTTTACTTGGTTTATTGAATCAGATTCTAATATCTGTTGCCCTTTGATTTCAATCCCTTCAATTTGATAAGCATTACCAAGTACCAATTATGGCCCAGGAGCAGGGACAATGAAGTCCAATGAAGACCACGGCTTTGCGTATGTGCCAGCGAAGCCGTGAAGGCCATTTACCTGATGTCCTATTCCATGCATAACCCTATACTGTATACTTTATGAATCAATAAAAAATTTACAATTTTTGATTATAAACCTGTGTTTTCTATCAAAATTACTTCTGGTGTGGATTTTGGGACACCCTTTACATGCTCGACTGTCAGAGACTCTACAAGGTGGGAGCCTCGTATTGTGCGCCTCGTTTTTCTATTAAGAAATAAGACCCTCTGAGGCAGAGAAGAAAAGAAAAGAAGCATCGGAAAACCAGAGCAACTGAATTCCACCCGCTTCTGGATGGTGGCTCGTCTGCTTTACTTCAGTGCCAACTCCCCCTACAGACTAAACCAAAGGACTTCCACAAATCCCCTACCTAAATAAAAATAAAAAACCACTATGTAAGCGTCTCAATACTTTATTAACTTAAAACATCACTCTAATAAATATGTATGAACAAACATAATGCACTCCAGAATACCTAAAAAACATTTATAAACCTCACCAAAGGAAAATAGCATTTTTTTCTCTCTCCATGGTGCACGTGGAAGGGCTAAGTGTTGAAGACAGAGCCTTCACTCCCCCACGCCTGCTAGTTTAGGCATCTTTTAAAAAAATTCAACTGAACAGTAAAAAACTGAGTATTCACACACATCTCTGAAGTATCTGTTCAGTTATATTTTGTTTGTGGTTGATAAAATCCAAAGGGGTCAGAAGGGAAGGTTCACGATTCTGCTTTGTCTTCTCGGAATTCCTTCGGAGGAAAAGAACAGACCCAGCCACTGGAGGTGTGACTGTTAGCCCGGGGCGTGACCTTGGTATCTGGTTCCCCCGTATCCAGCGAGGGCCTGGTACCATGGTAACGGGTGGCCAACAAACATTTGCTGAGTAAATGGATGCTATCTTGTAAGGGCGCTGCTCTGTGCTTTCACCTCCTCCCCGATGAAGCCTTTGATGAAGCCTTCGCCGGCCTCTAATCTCTTCTCATCACCAAGTCCACCGTTCTTGAACTCTTTCTTGGGGCCAGGCTGTTCAGTGTGTCTTGTCACTTCAAAAGTATGAAACTACTTCCCCAAATCAGTTTCTGAAACCGTCTTCAAGTGGGAGAAATGATTCCTCCAAGATTTACAGGCAGCACCTCACAGAAAGGGGTCAGCGGACCCCCCAAAATGAAAATAAAAACACTCCTTCTTCATTCTGGAGTTAAAACGACAACGGCATTAACGCGTGTCCACCTTGTAAATAGTGATTCCTCCTTTTCCACACAAGTGTCTGGGTGGGGCAGGAGGAGGAGTGAAGAAACCTGAAGGGCCTTCCTGTCTTGGGAGCAGGACAGAGGGTCCCAAGATACAAGACTTCACTTTTCGAGAGGCTGTTCCCTGTGTCCAAGGCACCCAGAGTCATTTGGATCCCACTCCTGGATGAACCTTGAAAAGGTAACATCCCCTCTAGGGGCTCCCGGACGTGAGGTGAAGGGGGATCACCCAGGTGGGATCTGCAGCCTCGGGGGCCTGAGAAGTCAGAAGTGGCTGCTGGCCAGTGGGCAGGCCACCCTCCCTAGTGTTGTGTGATTGTGTGTGGCCCGCCAGGGCACTCATTTGAGCCCGTGCTGCGTCTCCCGGTGCCGCCTGAGGTCCACCTTCCTCTGGAAGCCCTTCCCACACAAGTCACAGCCGAAGGGCTTGAAGCCTGTGTGCTTGCGGCTGTGGGTGATGAGGTTGGAGCTCTGGCTGAAGGCCTTGCCGCACACCTGGCACTTGTGGGGCTTCTCACCTGCAGGAATGGAGGGGGGAGGGGAGGAAGTATGAGTCTGTGATGAAGCCAGAGGGGACTCTCTGTGACCCACATGCTCTTGACGGCAGCTGGCAGCACCCGGTCTAAAGCCTTCACGTGACGTGGAGGGTGATATGTTGCAACGCAAGTCCCCGGGAGCCAGGGGGGCACCAGGTGAAAGGGAGACTTTCTGAGTGGGGGTTCCCAGCCAAAGGCCTCAAACCGTTTCCTGCTAAACGGAAACAGCAAAGGCCACGTGTCCTCCCCAAGCTCACAGCTGAAGCCACCCTGGGAGGACTCCCGTGACTTTAGAAGCAGAGCGCTCCCACAGCAGATGGTCAGCAGGAGGGCTGGGGAGAAGGGTGGGGGTGGCTCTTCAAACCATGTGACTGTTCTAATTCAGAGGAAGTTTTCAAATCTGAGTTTCCAAGCAGGTGTTGGTTTGTATGGACCAGTGAGCCTGCCTTCTTTCCTGCTCTTGAAGGACAATAGACTGCATCTGAAGCATGGGGATTTCTTAAAGTCTTGTTTTTTAAAATCCACATTTGGGCCACAAAGTATTTCTTTCTTTTTCCTTTTTTTTTATTTCAGAGAGGAAGGGAGAGGAAGAGAGAGATAGAAACATCAATGATGAGAGAGAATCATTGATTGGCTGCCTCCTGCCCAGGCATGTGCCCTTGACCAGAATCGAACCTGGGACCCTTCAGTCCGCAGGCCGATGCTTTATCCACTGAGTTAAACCAGCTAGGGCCACAAAGTATTTCTTAAGGTAGCTGATCCTTTTCTATCTTGATTTTACTTTCTTTTTACGAGGTTAATCAGAGGGTTCTTTATATACTAGCAACTCTTCACCATAGATTAATAAATACCATTGAAAAAGTTTTGTATTTTCCCCCAGTTCATGAGCTGGTTTAACATTTGGGGAAATAGCATGGATTTCCAAATAGTCTCAGCATGGCATAGGGCTGGACCCTGGAAAAAATGCAAAAGAGATGACGTTTGTTTTTGAGAAACCCTCAGTCCCTCTTGCTGCACCTCTTTCTGTCTTCCTGCTTCAGATTTCCTTGATAAGGAACCACCCATCAAAATGTATCCTATCCCTTTAGGGTCAAACAAATCTGAGAAACGAATTCTAGCTATAATGTAAATGTTTGATAAGGGCTTACTGTTCCATTCAGTCGAGATCTTAGTTGCATTTTGATAAGCGTCTTGAATGCCTCTACTAAAAGGAGTGGGTTACATGGAAATTTCAGGCAAGAGGGCATGGTTAAAATGGGCTGTTTTTCTGCGCATTCTGGCGGGGCCATCTACAGTGCTCACGCGTATCTGTAAACATTAATGGTAGGTGTTTGGGACACATGGCAATTTGTTTTAAATCAGTATTCATATTCTGAAATAAAGTAGTCAGATTTCTGGTTCTAATGTCTTGTGGACTATTAAAGAGAGTGCTCCTGGCATTAAAACTGCCACCTACACACAATCCAAACCTCAGGGAAACAGTACAGAACTGGAAGCCAGAGCATTTCATGGGCCCTGACCTTTGGTAAATCATCCCATCTCTCTAAATTCCAGGGTGGTGATTTCAGCTCCTGCTTTATGGGACGGCAGTAAGGATCAAGTAAAGTGACAGACTTAAAAGCACTTTATAAATTATAAAGCATTGTAATAGACAAAGAATTATCATGACTATGTCGTGAACTTGCTGATGTTCTTAAAAGGGCAATAAGCGAATAGAAGCTTTTTATATCTACCAACCCCCACGACTCTGAAAATAGAATACAATAAACAGTGGTCAAGAGCTCAGACACCTGAGGTCAGACAGAGCAGAATGTAAGTCCTGGCCCTGCCACTTGCTAGCAACATAACCCTGGGCGGGTTAATGAACCCTTACAGACCTCACTTCCCTCATCTCTAAAATGGGAATAAAGAATAGTCTCTTTCTCCCAGAGTTGTTGTGAGCATAAAATAGTAACGCATTTACAAAGTGCTTAGCAGACAGTGCAGTCATATTTACCATTGTTGTTCCCTCCTCACTAGAATAAGCTCTCAGACTCTTAAAAATGCAGCCAAGAGGCCACACATAAATCCTGCCCCCAAAAGGCTGGGTGGGAGCCCTAGAGAAAGTCCTCCATCTCTAGGTAAACATTTAGAGCAATGGCTCTGAGAGGACCCTGGGGCTTCCCATTTCACCCAGAGCAGGCAGCAGTTGGAGCAGCTGCTAAATTAGAGGAAAATATTCTTTGTAAGGATAGGGGAACTGCAGCTGACCTGCCTAGTGGTTCTTCAGATACAATCCCAAATCAAGGCCCCCTCTGGGGAGAACCATGTATGCAAATGAACCTCAGAGAATCTGCTTTGCTTTCTTTCACACTCTGCAGTGATTAGGCCTCATTTGCCACTCATTCCAGGGGGCAGACTCCCACAAAGATGGTGAATTATATTGGCCTCAGGGGGAGGAACGTACCCCTCCCCCCGCCCCCACCCTATCCCTCACTGGGTGTTTCCTACAAGCCAAGGGCCTTAGCTCACCAGTGTGGATGAAGGTGTGTTTTTTCATGTCTGACTTCTGATGGAACCTCTTGCCACAGTACTGACAGGGGTAGGGCCGGGTGTCTGAATGGATGAGGAGGTGTGTGGACAACGTCGATGACCTCTTAAAGCTCTTGCCACAGATCTTACAGTCAAAGCTCCTTTCCTGTGGAGACAAACGTGTGGCCTTCTGCTTGCAGTCGTCTAGGCTGCCATTCTGCTTACCACGGACCTGACTCAAAACCAGGGCTTTCCCTTCTCTCAGACTCCCTTTCCGAATAGCCTGAGCCCCGTATCCTCTCCCTTCCCATTCACTTCCAACTTCTACCTTCCCCACCCCTCTCCTCTTCCCCTTTAACATTTTTTCTACCCAAACACTTTTCACCCACAACCCTCCACGCCCCAGGGCAAAACTGTATCCCCACCCTGCTTTTTTGACACCCATTTATAATAACTTCTCCACCCTCTTCAACAGGAGGCTTCGACCTCAGTCGCTTGAGATGCCCTTTCCCTCCAGCCAGCCATGGATGTTGAGAGAGATGAGAGAATCCTCTTTTCAGTAAATAAGTATCTGTACGTAAGCATTGTTCTGTCATAGTTACTTCGCACTACTTTGCTTATCTACCTTCTGTCTCTCGGCTAAACTGTAATCTCCGTGGGGGCATTGTGTCAGGGACCCGGTATGTTATAGCACTCGCATGTGCCTAGCACCTGTAAGTTGGGCGACAAATATTTTAAACGAATCAATGAAAGCATAGTAGGACAAGAATGCTACTGGATGCTCTAAATGGCCGGGGGTCAATGCAGATTAGCTGAGAGAATGAAGCCGAGCTAATAAATCCGACATATCAGCGGCAAGGGTGCATACAAACGCTCCTCAAACTCAAGGTAATGATCAGGATCACGCTCTGGAGGCTCCCAGTGACATGACACCAAACTCTAGGGTTGCCGAGGCGGCCGGCCACCCACATTTTCCTACCCACCTCGGCAAGGGGACATGGCCGAGGAGACAGGGCAGCCAGGGATACGGAAAGAGAAAACCACCAGGTGGAGAGGGGCCAGGGCTGCAGAGACCCTGAGGACCTCCAAACGCGAAAGCCCAAGCAGGATCGTGCGAGGCCGTCGTGCGCCCCCCGCCCCCCGCCCCGCTTACCTGTGAGTGCACGGCTTTGTGCTGCTCCAGGCTCACCGCGTGCCCGAAGGTCTTGCCGCATATCTCACACGCAAAGGGCCTCGTGCCGCTGTGAGACCTGCGCACATGCACCTCGAGCCCGTGCGGCGTGGAGAACACCTGAGGCGGGTGGGCCGGGGGAAAGGTCGCTGAGAGGGGCCCAGGGGCGCGGGCGCGGGCTGGGGGCGGGCTGGGGGCGCGAGCGCTGGGCAGGCCCAGCCGGGAGCGCGGGAGCCTCACCTTGCTGCACTTGATGCACTTGTAGGAGCCACCGCCCAGCAGCAGGCGGGTGCACAGTAGCTCCGACTCCACCTTGACACCAGCGCCTTTGTCCGCGTGCAGCCCGTGGCTACGCTCCGGGTACAGCCCGCCCGCCGCCGCCGTCGGCCGCTCGTACAGCCCGGCCACCGCCGGCCCGAAGTCGCCGTAGAGCCCCAAGCCCGCGCCGCCTCCTGCGCTACCTCCCCCGGGCGCCCCGGCCCCCGCGCCGCCCGCCGTCCGCTCCGGGCCGTACAGCGCCGCGGGGTGGCCTGGCTCCGGGGTGCGCTCGCAGAAGAGGCCCAGGCCTGCGCCGCGCTCCAGGGCCGCGCACGGCCGGTAGCTCTGCACCAAATTCCGCAGGTCAGAACCCACCAGGCCGCTCCACGAGTAGGGCTTGAAGGGCAAGGGGAAGGGCTGAGCTTCGTCCAGCGATGGGCACACCGACTTCTCCGAGGCTGAGGAGACACGAGAGGGCGTCCGGTCAGGCTTAACACGGCCTGCCAGGCCCCCAGCATTTGTGCAGCACCCCGTGCGCCCGCTGCCGCGCTAGATGCCAGGGACGCCCGCAGGATAAAACGCAGTCCCGGTCCCTGAGGCCTCGAGGACCGCTGGAGGCGGCAAACAGATCGTGTAAACGACATCGGGCGAGGAGGTCGGTCATTCTGTGCCAGGACAGCGGAAGTGCACGAGGTTAAGAGGGTCTTTGCCGGCTCCGCCGGCGCACCGGGTGTTCCCACAGAGAAAGGCGCGCCTCGCTGCCTGTGCGCAATCAATGCTCTGAGCCGAGCTGTGAGGGAGGAGAGGGCGGCCTGGGCAGCACTCGTGGGCAGAGGACCCAGCTCCGGCGCTACCCGGGCCCTGATTGTCCCCACTCAGTCCCTTTTCGTTCCTGAGATTGATAAGGAGGGAAGGAGAGGCCCAATCAAATGTGGCCCGGCCTACCCAAGACCTACCTTCCTGGGAAAACAACCGCAACAACTGCAAAGGGAAGGCGTTACATTCCTTAAAGGTATTAAGGGCTCACCCAGTGCAGGTAACGAAGGAGCAGCCGGAAGGGAATTTGGGGCTTGAACTGCCTGCCAAATACTACTCCCATTTCCATCATAGTTTGACAGGAAAAAGAAAAATCCAAATTTCTTAGAAAACAATTTACAACTAAGGTTTAGCCACCAACTCTAAGGGGAATAACTTTGCAAACTCATAGCTTTCTGCATCCACCCCAACCAACAAGAATCTTGCTAAAAACCAAATCCCCAACATAGACTTTCTGTAAGTGCACACGGACCTGCCAATCTGCTCAGGCACCGCAGACTCCTCTCCGAGCCAACCGCTTCAGAGGGAGGCTGCAGCACTCCGAGCTCCCGAGGGAGAGAGGCGGCGGTGCCCAGACCTTGCGGGTGGTGTCCAGCACAGCCAAGAAGAAACCTCGGCTTGCTGGCCCCCAGACTCACGCGCTGGAGCTCCGTCTTTAACCAAGTCAACGCACCGAGTGCGGGAGGGTGTGTGTGTGTGTTGCGGGGGTGGGAGTGGGGGTGGAGGTTCCTTTTAAAACTAGTAAATACAACCTTAAATAACCGACCCTTGGCAGGTCCGGCTGGTCTGCGCTCTCCTTCCCCAGGCCCCACCCGATGTGCTCTCACGCAGTTTTCTCGAAACTCGACTTGCCCCGATGGAAATGAAACCAGCCTGCTGGTCCCCAGAACTGGAGCGACCAGGCAGAACAAAAAAATAAAACGGGCCCCCAATCCCGCCTCGGAAGACCCTAGCACGGGGCCGAGATTTTCATCCGGGATGGGTTCCTCCCGCTGGGCGCCCAGCTCTGCGGGGGGCCCCCACGCCGCGGAAGCGAGAGTACATTTTAAAGCCAAAGACACTTTCCTCTCAGACTTCCCTGGTCTCCATTTGTTGGAGACTCGGGGTTCTGGATTCTGGGATCCCAGCTCTTTCTAAACAATGAACTCTGGCCTGAAAACGAAATGTCGACGTTGCTGACGCTGGAGACGACTCATTTATTTTTTTTTTCTCACCCACCCACTCTGCACAAACAAACCGGGTAGGGATGAACAGCCCGGGTCCCGCCACCTCGGGTCCACGCAGCGCGTCCCACAAGCAGGTTGCCACAGTCCCAGAAAGTCGGGTGCCTCCCTTGCGGCCCTATCCCCCACGAAAACTCTGCCTCCTCTAGGAAGGACCCTCCGCCGCCCAGTTAGCATTTCTGCGCCCAAAGCCGCGCGGGTCCCTGCGCCCCGGACCCTGGCGCTCCCAGCGGGTCCTTACCCGGAGACACGGAGGGCGACGGCGGCCTCCAAAAGTCCTCGAATTCCGAGCTGCGGTCGCAGCCGCTGCCCTCGCTGCTGCCGGGGGACGCGGAGGCTCCGTCGGGGGTCTCCGTCAGCTGCGACTCGGGAGACAAACGGCTCCCGGGCTCCACCTTCACCCCCGCTGCGCCCGAGGTGCTGCCTGCGGAGAGGAGGCGGGATCGGTGCTCAGGCTGGGCCTGGCTGGGCCCGACGGTTCTGGAGTGGCGCTCCTCAGACCGCAAGGCCCGGGCGTCCTCCTCTCTCCCCGGCCCTGGCCCGCACCCCTCCCGGATCGGAGGGCGAGGGCAGGGAGGTCGTGGAACCGAAGCGACAAGCCCGGAATAAAACCCGGACGAGAGAAACCAAAGCAGGCGGCAAAGGGGGCGTTGGGCCTCCCTGCCCGGCTCCCGGGGGTTGGTGTGGCTGGGGGCTCGGGGTCTACGTCCCGGGAGCAGCCCCGCCCGCCCGCGCGCGCCCCCCGCACCTGCTCCGCCTGGCGCCGGGACGTGCTCCGGTTGGAGGGAATAGTCGGGTCCCGGGGAGCGCGGTTGGTGGTAACTGTGAGCCTTCTTGCTCTTAACAAGGAACGAACGCGGCATGATGGTGGGGCGGGCTGCGCTCCCCACTCCGTTTGCAAGGGCCACTGGCGTCTCCGTCCCCGCGCTGTCACCCCGAATTCTTGCTCAGCCCCAGCTAGGCGGAGACCTGCGAGAGGAGAACCGGGTGGAAACCGGGTCAGCACGCTCCGGGCCCGGGAACGGGCAGCCAAGCAGAGATAGAGCTCGTGCCAGGGAGGAGCGAGTCAGGCTCGCGGGAGGAGGGGCTTGGCCCCGCTGCGCCACGCTCACCAGGTGGCACTCGGACAGGTGGCGCGAGCCCGCCGCCGCCGCCACGGCTCACCCCGGCCGGGACTCAGGCCTCTTCCTCTGCCTCGCCCACGCCCCTCGGCCCCTCCCCTTCTCCAGCAACACTGTTCAGCAAAGCCTCCCAGGAGCCCGAGTACCCAACGGGCCGCTTATTCCAACTCGACCCGCTGGGCTCTGCTTTCGGGCTGGAGACGAGGGCGGGGGCGCGAGGACAAATTTAGGGACTGGGGGTGTGTCGATGGTCGAGGACCCGGAAGAGGCAAGTAGCCAAGCCCTTCGAGAACCAGCTACAAACTGGAGGGAAGGGGGGCAGGGGCGGGGCACACTGGGCAGGATGAGGGTTGGGGTCGGGGCGGGCCTCAGAGGGGGACCGGGGCAGCAGAGGTCCGAGAAAGAAGGTAGGAGAGCAGGGGGACCAGAAGGGGAGGCGGGGGAAGTGGCAGAGGACCATGCCCGGCCTTGGGAGGAACTCGCATCCTGGCAATCTTACTCGTCCCACACTCAATGCTCCACGCGGGGAAAAAGTTAAACCTGGAGACGTGGGTGCGGCGAAAGCAGGCAAGGTCCGGGGCCAGACACCCCGGACCCTGGAGACCTAACCTTGGAAACCAAGTCCCGGGGAAAACCACTTTCCACTCTGCTCACCAAAAACCTTGTCCTGGGGAGGTCGAGCCCTAACGGCGCGCGCTGGCTGAGAAGCGCGCGGCGTCCTCCTAGGAGCCCGCAGAGAACCAACAGTTCAGTGGGCGCGGGAGAGTCGAGGTCCGCGCGCGGGCCTGGGAGAGAGCTCACTGCCCGCTCTGCCGCTCTCATTAACCCCCCAATCAGTTCACCTAATCCCGGGGTCGAAACCTGAGCCCGGCGGGGAGGCGGGGAGGCGGGGTAGCGCCTCTGCACTGCTCGGGTCTCTCTCCGGGGGCGGGACTAGGGTGGCTCAGGAGGTCTGGAGAAAATGAATCTGCCTTCCTCCCGGGGTGAAGGCGATGGGGGCTGGGTACACTTGTGAGCTGCAGGCGCTTCGAGCGACAGCGCTCCGTGGTCTTAGCTAGTTCAGAAACGGGGCTCTGGGGATGATGATGGTCCTTGCGCTTTACGAGGTTTAGACCGCCCGACTAGACGTCAGCGGCTCCCAGGGCAGGACGCAGGACGCCGTCTAAGTCTGCCCATTGGCGCTCCGGGCATAAACGTAATTCTAGGGGACTCGTTCCCTGGAGGGCATTCCACGTCCCACCGTGTCTCCTTCCCCGGGAGAGGAGTGGGGACGGGCTTGGGAGGAAAGAAGGCTGAGACTTGTAGCATAAACCCAATCGACGTTTCCCGCGTCCTAAGCTCCAGGAGGCCCCCTAGGGGTGAGGGTGCTTCCCGCCTCCAACCGGGTCGGCCCGGAGGGTCGGGGTGCTGGACTGAGCTGAGGCGCAGTTCTGTTGCTTCAGTGTTTCCCTGCGCCCGGCGTGAGCTGCCCTTCGACCATGTAATGACACACTACGAACGCAAAAAACCCGATTCCTTAAACAACCATGAAACTAAAAGGAAAAGGTAAACGAGGCGAAACGGTCCCGCGGGCCCTACTGCATCCTGAGTACCCGTTGGCGTAGAGGCGAACAGCGGGGGTCGGGGCAGGGTTTGAGGTGTCCGCGTCCCCTCTTCTGGACTGACCGGGGCCGCGCGGGATCCGACGGGCGAGAAGCTTGCCTCCCCGCCCCTGCCACAGCCCCGCGCCTCTCTCGCATCCTGGCTGGTTCTGCGGGTTCCTGGGAGGGTGGAGTGGGGGGCGGGGGGTAGGGCCGAGCACTGAGCGCGTGGGAAGGCGACCTCGCTTAGCAGCTGGCGGCCAGGGGGCGGGGCGGCCCTCGCAGCGCACGCGGGTCCGCAGGGCCTCTGTTCACGGTCAGGGCCTGGGAAGACGGGAGCTGGAGGCACCGAGCGGGCAGCCTACAGAGCTCAGCAGCCGCCGCCTCCCCAGCAGATGTTTCCCTCCCGGGTAGATCCCGCTCCCCTGCAAACGTCCAGGCGCGTGTCCCCAGCCCTGCCGTGCGGGTCGGCCGGGACCCAGAGGACAGAGCTCTCCGCGCTCCCGCACAGCTGCCCACGGAGGGTGGGACCCCAGCGGCGCCCTCCGTTCGCCCCGGCAGTGCCCGTGCCGGCCAGTTTTCGTGGTCGCCCCCGCCAGGGAGGGACGTGCAAAACAGGAGCAGCGAACCTACCTGCGGGGTCAAGGCGCGGGCACCGCGCTCGGAGAGTTTTCAAACTGAGCTGCTCTCCAGACGGATCTCTCTCTCTCTCTCTCTCTCTCTCTCTCTCTCTCTCTCTCTCTCTCTCTCTCTCATCTCCTTCGGAGCTCAGCCCCCAAAACCACAAGCTTCACTTCCTGAGCGTTAAGGAGTAACTCGCTGAGCCCTCTCAGACCTCCCCCCACCACCCCCGAGTCCGGCGGCGGGGCGCGCTCTTCCTTTGCGCAAGGGACTAGCTGGACAGGGGACCGGGCCTTTCCAGCTTCCCTCCCCAGCGCCCCTCCCCGTTTTCTCTGTGGGACGGCGGGGGTGGGGAGACCCGAAGGACTCAGACACTAGGAATGACTCGAAAGAAAATGAACTATTCTTGGCTCCTGGGAGACTTCCGCGGCAAGAAGAAGTCACAGATTCAGGACACAGATTGACTGGAGCGTCGGGACTGGCAGAGCCCAGCTCCGAAGTCTCCCGACCCATCTGGCCCGGGACCCCCCCCTCCGCCCCCCAACACCGCCGCCCGCTTGGGCTGCGCCGCCCCGGGGTTGGGGCCGTGAATCACCCGCCCGCGGTGCCGCCGGCCTGGAGCCCGGCGAGTGGCCGCGGCGTCCGCAGAGCGAAACCTGCCCCGCGGCCCCGAAATAGCTTGTTGTGGAAACACTTGGGGATAAATACGCCCAGCGAGGCTGAAAATACCTTGACACCCAATCCGAGAGGTTTGCTCATTTCCCTTCGGATTTAGGTAATGGTTAAATTTGGAAAAGGTGGGCGAGCGCCGAGCCCCCGGGCCGAGAGGGCGCTGGCGGCGCGTCCCCCGGGCGCCCGGCTGGACTGGAGGGCGCACCCTCCCCACGCCACGCTCCCCCGCGTGGTGCCCGGTGCGCTCTGCCTGCGGCAAATTTCCGGTGGTCTGAGCTGCGAAACTGCAGACCCCGCCCTGCCCAGTAAAGCCAGGGAGAGCCAGATCTCAGGCGCGGGCGCTGCCGCAGCCGGAGGTCACATCCAGGCACCTGGTCCTAAGGGGAACAGTAAAGCGCCATAAGAGCAATACCTGATGGTTATTAAAATTTAATCTTCGCCGGGATTGTGTTCCATGAGAGCGGGCATCTGAATCTACATTAAGTCCCTGGTAGTCTCAACAAATGTCTGTGGATGGAGTCAATGAATAAATGGCATTAATTGGTTAATTCTATTAATAGAATGGGGGAAAAGCCAAAATCTCACGCATAAATTAAACAAATGCAGCAACCTCCAGCGCTAGACTGTATGTCATGATCTATAGTGTGGCCTGTTGTGTGCATCTAAGCATAAACCCTCCCCTGGTAAGGGTGGATATCCGTGTAATCTCATTGCTTTCCTAAATGGGTGACTTAGATTTTGGTCACTACTTCATGCACAATAAGTCTCCAGTGTTAGATACCCAGAGAAGGAGATAGTGCTCCTCAATTTTTGCATGTATTATATTAACTAAAAGTTGTCATGGGGGGAAAAGTCCCTTAGAGCCCTTTTCCTAGAGAATGCTTTTTAAAGTGATTTTTAATTTGCACTGTAAATCTAAAGATTTGCAGAAAATATTTGGTTACCAAGGCAGTGCTTTAAGCATGCTTTAATAAATTGTATTTTATACAGCAATGATTGCACACCTACTGTGTGACAAGTGCTTAAATTATGTGTCTAGCTGTCCCCCTCACACTACTATTATTTTACTCAACATACCCTTTTATAAATAAATGCAGAGGTAATCAACCTCAATTAAAAGAATTACAAATATTGAATTAGCTAAAGGAAAATTAAGTGCATTTAAAATTTTTATTTCTTGTGTGCTTTGTCTTGGCCCAAGGTCTAAAATCTTAAAGACCATTTTCTTTGCACATTAGCAAGTTCAAAGTTAAGATTTCTTAAGAAGGCACTGTGACTAGTAGTTTAGTTGAGTGTTTCTGTTTAAGGTTTTAGAAAACATGGGTGGGGAGGCTATGAAGGGGGCAATTAATCACCCAGCACAGCATCCATTTCATTCAGATTAAATCTAGTTGGCTTGCTTTGTTTGCCCTTTCCAACCTCTGAGTTTGCAAAATAAAAGTGGGGACAAGAACATCCAGGGAGAGGCAGGTGGGAGGAAGATGACGACAGATCCCCCTTTATATGTTTTGAACCATGTGACTGTATTACCAACTCAACTGAAGAAATACACATTGAAATATTTAACTAGCAAGATCAGGTCATTTCGCATGTGTATAGTGTTGAAATGTGATTCCCACACTCAGGGGGAGCAGAGAGAAAAGTAAGAAGAGGGGCACCCAGAGAGGTTAAGAAACTTTCCAAGAGAGGAGCCAGGAGGCCGGACTGGAAATGATGATAGAATGAACCTGATTTCCCATAACTCCAAACCACCCCTCATTTACTACTAACCTGAGAGTAAAGAGAATAAGACCCCACCCCATACACCAAGTGCACATTTTTAAAAGCTAGAAAGAATCCCTACCGAAATAAATCTAATCATAGACAGAATGTAGGCTTGGGCATAATTTTCTATAAATACTGACTTTCACCAAAAAAAGATGTTGAATTTACCAGTATTGTCAGTAATTTACTAATTGCTATTACATAACAATAATAATGTATCCAGCATGAGTGTGTGTGTGTGTGTGGGGGGAGTCTATGGGGGGATGAGGTCACATATGTAATACCTTAATCAATAAAGAAATTAAAGATTGAATAATAATAATAATAATAATAATAATGTATCCATAGGTGCCAAATAACACATGACCTTCTTTATATGGCTAACATTTCCAAGTTCTGGCCAGTGGCCCATTTATTTCAAGCAGCATCTCATAGATCAGAGTTTCCCTACCATAAAAGATCTGAGCTATTTTAAAAAAGAAAATTGTAACAGGATATTACCAGTTTCTTGTTTATTTTTTCCACAAAGCTTTACAGTTACCATCTCTGCTCTATCTGGGGGAAGCACAGGAAGAGTAGGTGATCCAGGAATCCCAGAGACGGTAGTGCCCCATCCAGCATACATTTCTGTAATGTTTGCCTCATTTGATCGGCTCAGTGATGCTACCAGGAGGGGAAAGAGTCCCTGCTTTTCATGGGCAATCATTTGTGGGTATCTACCTCTGTTACCACCCCTGTGGCCTTGAGGAATTCAGCGCAACTCTCCCAGCCTCAGTCTCTCACTTGTAAAGTCAGAATACCTGCCTACCTTGCAAGACCATGGGACAGTCCTTTGATTGCCACTCTTCACAGGTTCCTCTGGGCACCTAGGAAGGAAGAGTGCTCTCAGGAAGGGTGTCCTAGGTTTAACCTCCTTGTTCCGTGTCCTGCTTTGATTTATTCAACTTTAGATAAGCAGACCGCCTTACAGCAATTTGCAGGGACTTGGAGACCATATATATATATATATTTTAATCAAAGGTCAGATAAAATGAACGAAGGATCTATTTTCATTTCTAGATAGTCTATGAATTTATTCGGGGGGAGTTAAATGAGTAACTATTTGTTTCAGGACTTAGTTTACCCATCTTTAAACAGGAAATGCCTTCCATGTGTCAAATACCAGGAGCTACAGGCTAAAGAGTAGCTATGGGAGATACACGGAAAGTAAAATCAATGTTTAATAAACACTGTAAAAAGGGGGGCGGGACCACAGGGTGGGACTGAGCATGAAGGTCCTCTGTAAGCCAGACAAGATTTTTTCTATATGAAGGTGGTGGTTTATTTTTTAAATATGTTTTCATTGTAAATTTTTTTTTTTATTTTATTGATTTTTTACAGAGAGGAAGGGAGAGAGATAGAGAGTTAGAAACATCGATGAGAGAGAAACATCGATCAGCTGCCTCCTGCACATCCCCCACTGGGGATGTGCCTGCAACCCAGGTACATGCCCTTGACCGGAATCGAACCTGGGACCCTTCAGTCAGCAAGCCGACGCTCTATCCACTGAGCCAAACCGGTTTCGGCTCATTGTAAATTTTATTAGGTGTAATTCGATTAAGAAAGAAAAGAGGAAACTCCAGTGCAATAGCTTTCCAGTATTTTTGCTCTGCTTCTTTTTTAAAAAAACACCCATAATTTTAATCATGTAGGTACAAATGTGTAATCTGCTTTTTTCACTGAGTACAATATTTCTTTCTGTTCTCTTTATTTTTCAAATTTTCTTCAACTGAACAAAAACTATTTTATAGTAACATTTATTTAAATAAAAATCATGACAATCATCTTCCCTGCTCTGTTATCTTTCATCATTCTCGATTGCTATAAAAAGGATTATATCAGCTAGATTACTATAATTTACTCAATCGCCCTGTCTTAGTATTTAGCTTGTTTTCATTTTTCACCGTTTTAAATAACGGAACAAAATGTTTTCTGGATATAGCTTTGCCCACATTTTAAATTGCTTCTTTAGGGCATATTTTTAGGGGTGGAATTTCTGGATCCAACAATGAATATTTTCAAGGCCTTTGATACATACCAGAAAAAGTGTTTTGGATAGCATGTTTATGTAACGCATAAGCCAAGAGAATTTATAGCACTTTAACAAACAGTTAAAAGATTATAAAAATCAACTATGGAAAAGCTAGATTTTTATTAAAGACCAGACATAGAACAAGTCTTTATTTGATGCACATGAAGTATTTGTTAGACAGTGACCACACCCTGTCATATTGCCATGGTTTTGTCCTCATGGTATCAAAAACCTATTTACTTTTTGTCTTTGGATGAGCTGTCTTTGTGGGTATAGGTAGACAGAAATGAGTTATATATTTTTTTCTAAATTGTATGAATTCAAGGAGAATAAATGCAGAATGATAACTGTGTGATGACAACTCAAATGTTAGGTGATATAATTGTTTCCCTTCTACTCTTACAAGGAGCAGGCTATCAAAATAAAATTTAAATGACACTATAAGTCAGAATAAGATTTGATGGTATCATCATTTATGGAAAGTTGGTAATGCTTTTTTACTAACGCGCAATAATTGGGAAATGGGGTAAAGGAGAAATTTGGAGATAAACAAATTAGTATAAGACTCACACTATGAG